TAAACTTCTAGGGCAATATTGTGCCATCCAAAAGTTAAGGATATTAGTTCCACTTGACAGAAAGCTTCCAGAAAAAAATTTCCATTTAACCCAAATAAAAAATTTTCCATTTAATTTGTATTCAGCTGCATATATATGTGAAGTCATTAAAATACTCAAGTTAATTTGAATTTTAAAACTTAAAGGATAAGACAATGTGCGGATTCTAGTGTTCTTTATCCCAATATTTAATCATGTAAACACTATACTAGAGTTAGCTTTTAGTAATAATGTACATCAGATGCACAACAAAATGTAATTAATTTTGCTAAAAAAAACTTAAAGAAAAGGATATTTCTAATCGCTTTTCTTATAACATGCATTATCATAATTATTTTAATGACCGTTACATATTACTACTCTGTTTTTAAATATAAGAAGAACTGTATACTTTATGTTTCTTTGTTTTTATTACAAGTAAAACTACAAATTTTAAGAAGCATTAATTAAATTTTTTTCATATTGTCTCTCACAAACAGATAAACTAGAGGGAAAAGTAAACCTTAATTACAAAAGTATTTTAATCCAAACATTTTAATTTTAGACATTATTATGATTAACTAATTGTCTTAAACTGTATGAGTTAACTGAAATTCTTTCCTAATCAAAAACCGAGGGAGTATTATATTAACAGTTAAAGAAATACAAATGAAAAAAAAAAAATTAGAAAAGAACGAAAGGATAGTGGAAAAGTACTGTTCACAATTGGTATAAAAAGCTTGCAATTTATAAAGCATCCAAATAATATCTAATGAAAACAAGATATTTCTTAAATCTCAATAAAATAAATCTTAATAAAAAACAAATCTTAACACAATAAATCTCTATAGATAATATATTCTAACGCTCCCCTCAAATTTGTAACAGCTTAAGGAAGCAAATAGGCACAGTAAATTATCAAGTCCCTTTGAGAATACTATCAAGTAATCATCATTTCACATAACTGGTGGAGGCATGCAGCTACACTACTACTACTCTCTCTCTCTCTATATATATATATATATTTCTCTAAAATTATGCATATTGTTTGGTTGAAATATATCTTTCTGTTTTTTAAAGAAAAGTGAAACAATATAATTACAATAAAAAGAGAAAAAATATTAAATAATTACAGAAGTCAGAGGAAAAGAGGAGCTAAAGAAATCCTCCATTGTTATGAGGATCTGATACGACAACTGTTTTCGTATTGAAAGAGAAGAGTACAGTTGCAATTTCACGGACTATAAGTATTCATAACAAAGTTAAGTCTAAAATACTCGTCTGATATGGGTAATAAGTATTCAGTCTATGCATCCCATGATCCCAGATTCATCTATAAATTACTCCCTTTGGTCTTATTTGTAAATAACTTCTAACATATTTTATTAGAATTAAGAAAAACTTTAAACCTCATTAACCTTATCTTAAGATTTAATAAGTTTCCACCTCTATCCCTAATAAGGACAAAAGAATTATAATTAATAATTTTCATAACATTTAATAAGGGTGGAAAGGTAAAGATGAATATAGAAAATAGTGACGTGTCTTATAAATAGGACAAAAACTAATCTTCTCTTTTTGCCTTATAGATAACATTAGATGAGTATCCTTTTTCATATCATACTTCAGGGAACATAAAAGGTAGGATCAATCATTAATTATCAGCTTGATTAATAATATCCTGCATGAGTCAAATGCAAGCGTGGTATATCCAAATGTTAAAGTGGCTATTTTTGTCAAAATTTTCAGCCGCTCATAATATTAACCAAGATCAAATATATATATATATATGAAGAATTTTTAGAAAAATTGTGAATAGGTCTGAAATAAGGAAGTTATTTATAAATAAATCTTATAAATTTGCTAAAATATGATAATGCTAAGGTAATTACTAGTTTGATAAATTTCACCGTACATGCATAAGTCAAATTCAAGCATATCGTGTCAATAGGACACATGAGGGGATTCGGATTTCATAAGTGACATGAGTTCACTCACCTAATGAGTGTCTCATATGGCACGATAACAACCGTTCAATTAATGACTATAAGATATATGTTTTTGTCATATATAATACTTAGAAATTATCAAAATTTAAATTTTTGAAAAGGATAATATATATGAGATGTGCTTTAATTGTAAGGATTGTTTTGAACTTTAAAAAAGAAATGCATTTTGATAAATTTTAAGTATTGATGAAATCAATAATTGCAATTGAGACACTTGTTAAATGAGTGGACTTAAGCGATTCATTGAATTCAAATCTAATTTAAGGCCCGAATGTTAAGGTTGGAATTTTGTCAATTTTCAGCTTTTCACACTTATTAGCCAAGATTCATAAATTATTTTAGAAAAAATTACTAATAGGTCATAAATACTGATTTATTTATAAATAAATACAAAAATCCCTTATTTAGGATGCATCATTAATTTCCAGCTTGATTAATATCTTCCTGCGCATGAGTATACCTTTACTCACCGAATCCAAATCTAATTTGAGGCCCAAATGTTAAAGTGGTTATTTTGTCAAAATTTTCGGAAAAATCCCTTATTCAGGACGCATCATTAATTACTAGCTTGATTGATATCATCCTGCATGTGAGTCAATTGCAAGCGTCTTATGAATAGAATACATACATGGCGGCTCTTATATTCCAAATTTGAAGTCCAAACTCCTAATGTTAAATCAAAATTTCTAGCCACTCATTCATTTTAGCTAAGATCCATAAATTATTTTAGAAAAAAAAAAACATCTAGGTCCAAAATAAGAGTCTTATTTATTAACAAGTCATATGAATATGCTAAAATAATACGATGATGCTAAGGTAAGACTCATCATTGATTATCAGCTTGATTAATATCACCTTGCATGAGTCAAATGCAAGCTTCATATCATGCAATATACATGGCTAGCCATATATTCCGAGATTGAAGTCCAAATTAAATGATAAAGTGGGTATTGTGTCAAAATTTTCGGGATCGATCCATAAGTAACTTTTTAAAAAATTACAAATAAGTCCTATAAATTTGTTAAAATGCCGTAATGCTAAGGTAGGACGCATACTAGCTTGATTAAACCAGTTTTCGTGAAACCTAGTTAGTTCATGTAAAAAGTAGTATGTGCCTTTTGAAAAACTCAAGTTTGCAGATCCTACAACACTTGGACCAATTTTGACAAATCCCAAATCTTGTTTTTCAAAACTTGTCAGACCAATTTTCACCAAAAATTGGATCTTGACCACGTGAAAACTAAGTCTCTCTAGAGGTTACTCACTTATGTTTTCTAATTTTCTTGAGAAACAGATAGAACCAATGCGTGAGCTAGTTTTCCAGAGAAGCTTGTACTTCTACCTTACTGAAACATGCAAAAACCAAAATGTTCGCACGTGCGAAAAGAAGACTGAGCTCTCTCCACAAGCCTGTAATGAACGAAAATGAACTCCACTCTCGATCACACGAAAATGAACTCCTTCACATGTGACGTAGAGTTCTAACACACATTTAATGAACTTCACATATAAAGTTTTAAAAAACCAAAAAATAATGAAAAAAATATGTTTGAAAATGTGTTTTCTACTATATATTCTAAAAAACAAAAAAGTAAAAAGATGTTTTGAAGAATTAAAAAATCACAGCATCTTTTAGATGTTTTGTTACTTTCTGTTTTACAAAATTAGAGAAAAAACAGAAAATATCGTGATTTCATTAACGACAATTATGTTAATAAAATAAATTTTTCTTTCACCCTTTATTTCACTAATTTAGATATGTTTTTTAAAATAATGAACATAATTATCATTAATGAAAACGTAATGCTTTCTGTCTTTTCTCTATTTTTTGTAGAACAAAAAAAGTAACAAAACATAAAAAAAGATGTTCTGGTTTTTTAGTTTTTTAGAACAACTTTTAACTTCTTTAGAACACTGTACATAAAACACATTTAATTTCCAACAGTTTTTTTTTACTATTTGTTTTTCAAAACAAAAAACTATTCTAAAAACAAATCATCAAACAAGTCCGTCTTCTCCCAGTGTCGGCTTCTTTTCTCCTTAACCCTTTCAGTCCTGCTTGTTGCTTCTGAAATTTTGCTGTTGATACTTTTTTGTTTTGTCTCTATCTATTGCTTTAAGCTTGTTGACTAATGAATATTTCCATTTGAATACCATTGTCCCTCCGGTCTTGTTTGTTTGTTGTTGTTGTTTTTCTTTTCTTTTTTTTTTTTTGTGCTTATCAGAACAGAGAAGTTTTCAATTCTAGAATCAGTTAACATCATTTTGCAACGATAGCAATTGACATCTTCCTTTATTAAATCTCTAACCTTCTAACTCTGCTTTCTCTTCACTTGCTTCATTATTCTTATAAATGACAACAAAGACACTAGTGAGGAGTTCATCTCTCTAAATTGAACCAATCTTTAATTTAATTTTCATGACATTTCCACCATAAATATCCTTAATACACATGTATATAATTTAAATATTCCTTGATAATTAAACCATTCTCGCAAAAAATACGATAATGTGAATTCCTAGAAGACTCCTAAAAAAGATAACAGGTATCATTAAATATGGGGTGTCATCCTCAATATCCTTTTAAAAATGCATGGAATGCCAATGAAAAGAATATAAGTGAATGTTTGATACACCTAAAAGTGTTTTCTAGAAAGGGAAATAAGAAATGTACTTTGAAGGAAAACGTAATAGGTACATTTCTCATTTCCTTTTTTAAAAGAAAAAAAGTTTTTCACGTGCCAACATATGGCATAAGTGTAAAAAGATTATCGTTCAACTACAGTACAAAATTAAAATCATTGATATACTGAGGGTTTCTCCCCAATATTTTGAGTTTTATTCATTTAAAACATATTAAAATTACAAAGTAAAATCTCATAATTTGCAATCAAACAAAGTAAACATTGTACTTGAATACATTGACAATAACTTTCTTATTTATTGAATTAAACCACTTTAGTTGACAAACTCCTAAGTAAATACGTGGCCTTGGCCTTCGTGGCTAGAAGGAACAGTGATGTGCTTGTAGATAGATTCACCAACATGAAGCCACGACTTCACGTACTCCTGGAGATCAGAAAGGTTTTGATTTCTTCTGTAACTGTACATAAGAAGGACCATCCTTGCAGCATTGAGGCAGAACTTGGTGAAAGAAGGAGGAAATGGGCTTGTGATTAGGGTTTCTTGATTAAGACGTCTCCATGCTTTTGAAATCAAGTAGGCTACTTGTGTTTGTGCTTCTTCTTCTGAAGCACCGTTTTCTTTCATGTAACAGTCAAGGTATGATCCATCCACACCACTCTGATCATCACTCTGAATTAGTTATCACAGCTTATTGTTAGTATATAAGTAGTCATGGCGTCATCTTAAGGATAAGTATAGTAATTATTCTTATCCTTTGATGAAAGAGACGTATAGGTTAAATATTAGTGCTCAGATAAAATAAAATATAAACCATTCAATTTTGATCTTGTCCATGTCGATGAAATTTGATCATAGTGAACATTCTGACTTAGAAATGTCTTGAAAATAGATGATGATAAAATGCTCCAAATAATTTGCAAGATTTTGAAACCTAAAATTATAGAGGAGGGGGATGAGACTCATCATGAATTGTAGTTCCATTTTTTAATTAAAATTCAAATTTTGATGGTCTTATCAAATAAAGGTTAAGAAATTGTTTTTCTTTACTTGATATATAGATGGAAGTTAAAGCTATAATAAAATAGAGTACTATAACATAAATTTAGAAGGGAAATGTTCAACCCACCCAAAGGCCCCCATTCACCTTCGTTTCTGTACCTCTCACTTTCATTCTTGTCCTCGTTGGCCTACATGATTGATGGAAAAATTATTATATTAAATGAAAATATCATTTTTTCCACCATATATTAGAATGGCTGTCAATCAAATGTAATGACTTGTTAATGCAATGCCTTTTGGACAATATGTACTCCTCTAGCCCTACTTATAAGGCACCTCAATGATTACTATGTTCATCTTTACCATTTTGCCCTATTAATTAAATGCAGGGAAGTTTATTTAATGCTAAAATAGGTACATTTAATAATGATAAAATTAAAAATTTGTTGATTTTTTACCCAAAGTTAATGAGATTTAATTTTTTTTCAGTTCTAATGAAAATGCTGGAAGTAATTTATAAACAAGATCATATTGAATATGCTTTTATAAATATGCTTGAATGAAGGTATATATGAATTGAATGGTTGTGTATGCTACTAAGGTTTCTCCCGAAATCTCACTCTTGATCAAAGACAAGTATATATGCTAGTATTACCTATAAAGCCAAGAAGGAGATAAAAAATGTTCATTTTGCTAAATGGTTGTAGCATTGTTGTATATTGTTATAAAAAGTGTTGGATAAATTAATTTTAAGGGATCTATTAAAGTTGTGATATGCTGTAAACTAAATTTATGGCTAATTTATGGCTAGAAAGGTATTTTTCAAATTTAATATTTATGAATGACCAAAGCTGGAGTCTAGGATAAGGTCCTAGACTTTAGTTTGAAAAAATGTATCAATACAAGTTGAATATTTCAAGTGAGTATTTTCCTATAAAAAGAACATCCCGAGCTTCAAAATGAATCAATAAGGAACATAAAAATACAATATTTATAAATATTTAATTATGACTATTCAAAATTACCCTGAAATCTGAAATTTTCATATAACCCAAGAGAAGAAATTTAAATTTTTGGATACTTGAATTTAGTTCCCTTTTTTCTTTCCTTTTCAATTCAACTAAAGTGTAATTCATAAAACGACATTCAAGTTCTAACGAAATTGTTATTTTTGACATACGAATGGAAAAAACGACAACTAATTGTACTGAAATGAATGTATAATTTCAATACTTTTACCAAAAAAAAAATTAAGTTCAAGCGAAAAACATTTCAAGGCAAGTGATAATGACACTGACACATCAAATTTTGGAATGATCCCTAATGGTCCCTATGCACTGAAAAGAGAGGGCAAGGCATTTCTCAGCCTCACACTAATGGTCTCTATGTGCACTAAAAAGATTCTTTCCTCACAAAGTCATTCTCAAAATTTAAGGATCTGTCCTGTGGCTCATTTTTCTATACTCTCTCCTGATCATTTTATAAGGCACGTTTAACCACTTTACTGAAACTAAGTAAAGTGGTTATGTCGTTAACTTTGTATGAAAAAAATAAATTTCTAATTTCACCTAATTTAAATGAAAATTCAAATTTGTGTTATATTTTCTCTCATAGTTTAGTTGATGAATTTAAATAAGGGAAACATTGAAAAAAAATTGATATTCTACAAAGTGCCTTATTAAGGACTACCAAATTTTTTTCTAGAATTTACCTTATAATAAAACCAGAAGGAGTATCACAAGATTGAAAGTACACATAATTATAAATTACAGGAAAGAAAGTTTAGTTCTGTTCAGTCAAATTAATTACCATGGCTCCTTCTAAATCATCACAGAGGCGTAGTATTTCACCAACTAAAGAAGAAACACTTGGAATTTGATCCATAATAGCAACAGTTTCTTCGGTGATACCTATAAGAAATTTTAAAAAAAATCTCAAATCTAGAAATTAGGATGATAGATCATGAATATATAATGTTTGGAATGTGTTAACCAAATGATTTAAGCTATTTTAGTGAAATAGACTATCCTTGATCATACTTAATATAAATAATTTAATATGATATTAAGAGCCATTCAATCTAGGACAAAAAAACCAAATAAAAGAAAAACCTGACAAAATGAAGAGAAAATAAAAGAGAGAGAGAGAGAGAGAGAGGAAAATTGAAGATTATATCGACCCAAAACCTCTAGGACTAAAAAGAAGGTAAAAGCCAAGACAAGAAAAGGAAAATGAAAAAAAAAAAAGTAGCAGAGGGAATAAAATAGATAAGAAAACTCCCACGTCTATAAATTAGAAGATATATGATGAATATATAAAGTTTGGAATGTGTCTAACCAAATGATGGATTTGTCCTACTAAATAACTTAAGCTATTTTGGGGAGGTAGGCTATTTCCAAGCATACTTAATATAAAGAATTTAACAATACCCTCATCCAAGAGGAAGAATGCATGTAAGAACACCACATGAACTCCTGAGCTCATAATCCCATTCTTCAAGTACTCTTCTGACTTTGGCAAATGACCAGAATTCAACCATCTTGCTTCTACTAAGAAGGAATTCAACAATGCTGCCCACTGTTTCATGTGCAGTAAAGATTTGTTCTTAGATCAGTTCAAGATGATAATTATAAAAAAGAAAAAGGCTTATTATGTATGCATATACCAGCGCCCACACACAGACACAGACACAGACACACACACACACACACACACACACACACATCCACAATTTGAAATAATGAGCTGGTTTATTTGACTCCTCACCGATTTCTTTAGGGTATTTATTGGGTTTAATCCATGCTTTTCTTGGATCTTGCTAGCCAACTCATTGATAGTGTCTTGTAGAAGATTGAAACAAACTTTAATGTAGTCCGGTAATTTCTCCGTGGCTGTGGATTCCCATCTGCATCAAGAGAATTGTTTTTTTAGCATTTTAGAATGGAATTATAATAAGAGAAAATGACATTTGAGGACCTTTTAAGAACATAAATTATGGTAAAGGACAACAATTAAAGGAAAAATAAGTATTGAAAACATCGAAGACAAGTGCTGAAAAATTAAACAAATGAGTACTACAACGTTAAAGATGATTATTGGAGATTGAAGTCGATTATTGAAAAAATAAATAAATAAATGATTATTAAAAAAATTCAATTCCAATCAAGAAATTTTGTTCTTGTTTGAAAATCTCTAAAATTTGTAATATAATATTCTTAAATGTATTTAATGATACTACATGGTCTTCGAATGTCATTTGCTATTCACAATTTGTCAACTACTGCCTCCATTTTTATATATAGGATTAGTTAATTATAATAATTATATTTGAAACTAAAGAATAAAATATCCTATATTAATCAACATAAGCATGTATTAATTATTTTTCATTATTGTAAATTATAAAAGGGCAATTTAAAAAATGTATAACAAATGCTCATTGAAATATGTGATTTTACTTATACTAAAAAACAAGTAAAAAATGATAGTTTCTCTTATAAATAAAAACAGAGTAATATGTGCTATTGACTATAAGTTTTTTGCTTTTAAGTATGTATAAAAATAGATGGCATTGTGTGTATCTTTTAAAATTTACATGAAATTGTATTATTTATAGATCATGAACAGTGCAATTCATCTTAAACCTTGTGTAAAGAGTACGGGGCATAAACACACACACACACACACACAAACACACACACAAAATACAGTTTGTATCCAAATATGTACATGACTACCTATTCACAGCATTGGTAAAGTTAGTGAGCTGGTCTAATGAACCATAAACATCAAAAATGTCGTCAATTATATAGACCAAAGAAACAGGTTTGATGAGTTCAATTCTTTGCCTCGAGAACTTTGGATCTGTGAGGCATGCCATTGGCCACATATACCATTTAACTGGGTTAAACTTAGCAAATGCCATCGCCTTGGCCACTCCAAGCTCTTTCCACCACCTGTCCACTGAATTATTAGTTAGAGATCTCTAATATGTATTAATTAATATATCTACAAGCAAAAATAACTGAGCATATCATATATATATATATATATATAGTCCTGAATATATCTCACTTGGTGACTTGAAAGATTTCATTCTGGTTCAAGTGGCGGATAATGCAGGAATTGATTTCAGCAAGTTCAACAAAACTGGTCGTCCATCTATTTCTCATGAGAAAATCACTTGATGAGATGAAGATGCTTGTGTTTGTGAACCTTGACAAGCTATGGTGAAGTGGATTCTGAAGAGCGTTTGCTACAGCTTGAGCTTCATTATGGCCTTCATGTGTTGACAACCACCTCTCAAGAAGTTGACGACTGAGATTGCCTGCATGAACAAGACTATCTTCTCCTTCCATGCTTAACTGTGATGTTTCATAGAGAGCAACCAGTCCCTTTATATCTTCACTGTATTTTTCTGTGAGCATTCCTTGTTTGCTCATGAAGCAGTCAAATATATCTGTACATATACCATAGTCATTATTATTATGCTTTAAACAGTATTCATAGTGCGTGGAATCACTGAAGATTGTGGTGTGAAAAGAAAGGGAATGATCGGAAAATACTAAATATTTCATACCAGCATGAACATAATGACCTGCTTGTCTGAATAAACGGAATTGAAGAGCGACTTCGAAAAGTTTAAGGCTGTGTATGGAATCACCACTGATATCGATTCGAAGCTTCGAATTTTGCTGCAGAATGAGAGCCTTTTCAATTTCCTCTTGGAAAAGGTGCTCAATGCCAAGCCTTTGGATTGCATCGATCATGTACAAACTTTCCACTGGGTCGTGGTCTCTGATGACTTTGTTGAATACCAGCTTAGCTTCCTTCAATACCAAAGCGTGTTTGATTTGAATCTCTTCCTGAAAATGTGAAGGAATTGAGTTCAGAAGCTGGTTCTTTAATCCAAGCACAGAAACAAACATACATATACAAGAATATATTATTTACTTCATTAAAACACCCACCATGATGAACTCCATGTATTTTTGGTGGTAATCGAGTTGATCACTCTGGGCTATTTATAATAACTTGGCAAAGATATAAATTATTAAGCTTGCATGAATATACTAGTAGAAGAAAATGAGGAGCTATGTGGTCCTATGTTAGGTGGGGGAGAGTACATGATGTGTGAGTCATTACAATAATGCCACCCTATTTGAGAACCGACATTCTTGATGACTCCACTTCATATCACTTCATTTGCCTCTTTTGTTGATCAAGGCTCTTCACGAAGAGTAGCTCTTTTCATGATATTAACCTTTTAATAAACATATTAATGTTATATAAGTCATGAAGGAATTCTCATCCAAAAAAAAAAATTAATTTGTTGAATGAGATAGTCGAAAAAATATGAACCACAATTTACTTATTTGACTCCTTGATGTGGACCCGCAACATCCCAATTTTCGGAACTATTTTAACTATGTGGGAAACTGAGGTCATACGTAATTGATGACGCCATATTTAAGATACCATTTATTAAAGTCAATTATATATATATATATATTTTTTTCTTTATGTTACGTTATTCAAGAACAAATTAAATATGGCTTCGCCTCTCAATCCATTGCATACGTATGAACACTGATTAAAAGGTCACCAACCATCTAATTAATAAAATCAAGAAAGATATTATGGAAGAGAGCCATCATTCATATATATTATAAATATTATAAATTAAACTAAATCGAAGAGTAGTCATGGATATTGAATTCCAACTAGTCACTCTACACCATTAAGATTAAATTAATTTCCAATACCAACCCTTTTCCCCAGACATGAACCACTGAATTGTGCGTCAGAATGGCGCATAATAATCCAATAATGATATTTTTTTTGGCCCCTATATGGGCTGCGGCCTTTTCAAAATTGGGAGAATAGGAATGAAGAACCACTAAAAAAATTCGTATTAGTTAAGAATTAGTTGTTATTAAAATTTAAATAGAAAAAAATTCAAATGAAATATTATTAATTTATAATGAGTTATTGTTAAAATTTAAATAAATACTTATTGATAGAAGACTAACTTGAATCAACAGGTATCATTATTTATTTTAACAACAAGTGATTCTTAAATGATAAATTTATCCTTAATTGATATTTTTCCTTCAAAATAAAAAATATGTAAAAATTATGAAATATAGTCCCACATGACTAAAACAGAACAAGCTAAACAACCACTCATGTCTATCCATTTGGATGATGATAATAATAATGATAATAATAATGATAATAATAACAATAGTAATAACAACAACACCGCTATACATGAAATAAACTTATTTCTAAAAATTAGTACCAACAGGTTTTGGTTTTAGTAAAATGGGTTTTGCTCTCTCAAATATCAGTGAGGTCATAGAGTTACCTCTAATTAGACTTGCCAATATCTGAATCTGGCTCAATTGGATAGTTATATTAAGAAATGAAAATAAAAAATTGAGCTACTCAACAACAAAAAAATAACATGTAAAAATGTTATTTTGAATAATTTTACTGCTTGAGTGATGTATTTTGGGGCTAGGGGCATGTAATATGCTTTCTCTAATTATCTTTTTAATGTCCCAACTTCTCATTTTCTTTTTTGGTTTTCTTTGGATCATTAACTTCTAACTTTCTAGATAAAATAAGAGATATTTTGATATCTTGAAATCCCAATATGGTGAATTTTGTATTTCTTATTATTTTTTTAAAATATCACAATTACACCTTTTATTTTTGAAAAATAGTTAAAAAAAATACAAAAATTTACCATTTTGAGACTTCAAGATATTAAAATGTCTCTTATTTTATATAGAAGCTAATGATAAAAGAAACAAAAAGAAATGAAATGGAAAGTTGAACGTTACAAAGAATATTAAAGAAAAGCAAATTGGAAGCTCCGAGTCTGGTTTTCATTCTCCGCGCATGGTTATAAAACATTGAAAATTTGAAGCGTCGTGTGTCACATGAGGCTTTGGGTCCCCTTCTGTCTTGTACATATTGTTATTTCGTCACGAAGGTCACACGAAATGACTGCGAGTTGTGACTTTAATTGTAATTATACATTAATGATTAGGACTTGAGAATTTAATTATAATTATGTAATAATTTACTCCTCATCCTGTCTTATTTATAAAATCATTTTTAGCCATCTTAACGAAATTACAGTCTAAAAACCTACGTCAACAAAATTAAAGAAATGTACGTTGTCTAAAAATTTAAAAACATAATCCTTATTGAATACATTAATTTTAAAAATATTTTCTCTCTCCTATAACTTGTTAATCTCTAGATTAAATGATAAAATTAGAAGAAAGAAATTAATTATTAATCTTTTTATGCAAAATGATTTATAAAAAGACTACTCCCTCTATTAAAAAATATAAGGTATTTTTTTAGAAGTTGAATATTAAAAAATATAAGGCATTTTTAATCTTTGAAACTGTAATTATTGTATTTTTTTTTAAATGTCCCGATTGATGAATGACTTTATATTTATTATAGAGTGTTTAATAGGAGTTAATATAGAAAGATAAGGTTAGTTTGAAAGTAGATAACTAATTTATTGAAGGATGATATTCGATTAAAAATACTTTATATTTTTTAATGGAGGGAGTATAAATTATTCCTTCTAAAAAAAAACTTACGTAAGCGGACCATGGACCTATGAGTAGTGGGGCTGGATTTTTTTTTTTCCTTGATCAGAGACAAATTATATATACTCCACCAGTAACAAAAATTTAATTTGCCGATGTATTTCGTACATGAATAGAACCATATGAACTAGGTTTTTCACATGTGCAATAGTTGATATTCTTGTGCGCAACTACTTGTTGTGGCCAAAAAAATTCAACTAATAATGAGAACCCTACCATGTATACCAACTTGAGTTGCTAAAAAGGATTGAACAATTTTTCAAAATTATTTAAAACTATATAAATGATATAAATGATTTTAGTAAAACTATATATTTCAAACAATGTAAATTATTTGAACAATTTATAATGTATACCAATTTATAAATTATTTAACATGTATACCAACTCTATCAAGAGCTCAATGGACTTTCTTTTGAAGAAAATCCAAACTTGCTCTTATTTTGTCCATGAGTAAGTCTCAACATGTGTCTATGAGCAAGTCTAGGTTTGAGCAAGCTTGACTATGAGCACATACATGTAAACTTGTTCAAACTTACTTGTGGGCAACATATAGATTTGCCCAGATTCTTATTTAGAGGTGTTCAATATAATTTAATTCAAAATCTTCTAATTTTGAATCACAATAGATTGTTGGAAAATTGTTTTATTTAAAAGTTGATAACTTGAAATATTACGCAAACCGAAAGTTCAGGATATTAATTGTTTCTCTGCACAATCTTTCAAGGCAAAATTGCCTTTTAACCCTAGTCAAAAATTTTCAACCAATGGTCAACTATGGTCAGATGTTACAAAAGGATAACATTGTGCCATTTAAAAATTAAATATACTAGTTCCACTCACCAGAAAGCTTCCATAACAAATTTTCCATTTAACCCAAATAAAAAATATGAGAAAAAGGAATATAAAAAACAAAGTTAATTTATTTGCATTTAGCTGTATATACATGTAAAGTCTTAAAATACTTTTCATATCAGATTAGTTTGAAAGTTAATTTGTATTTCAAAACTCAAAGGATATAACAATATACGGATTATATAGTGTTCTTTATCCCAATATTTAATCATGGAAACTAAACAGTATACTGGAGTTCTGGTAAGAAAACACTGTTCTAGAGTTAGCTTTTATTAATAATGTACACCAGATGCACAACAAAATGAAATTACTTTTCTATAAAAGACTTAAGTAAAAGGATACTTCTAATCGCTTTTCTTATAACAAGCATTATCATAATTATTTTAATCAGCGTTATACATTACTACTCCATTTTTATATTATCCTTATAAATAGAGAGTGTCATTAAATTAAAAGGAAAAAGCAAATATTGATTACAAAGTTATTTTAGTCCAAACATTTGAATTTTAGATATAATTATTATGATTAACTCTTTTTTTAAACCATGTCAGTTAGCAAAAATCCTCCTATATTTAAAAACTGAGGGAGTTTTATATTAATAGTTAAAGAAATACCAATGAAAAAAATTAGAAAAGAAGGAAAGGATATTGGAAAAAGCGTTGTTCACTGTTGATATGAGAAACTGACAATATATAAATCATTCAAATAATAACTAATGAATACAAACTATTTCTTAAATTTCAATAGAATAAATCTTAAAAAATAACAAATTTCAACACAATAAATCTCCAGAGATAATATATTCTAATGCTTCCCCCAAATTTGTTATAGCATGTATTGATTGATCTGAAGAATACACGGTAAACACGAAACAAATAGGCACAGTAAAGTTTTATATCTTGATTTGGCGCTCCACTGTCTTTGTCGAGTCCCTTTGAGGATATTATCAAGTAATCATTCTTTCACATAACTGGGGGAGGCATGGGGCTACACTATTACTCTCTCTCTCTCTCTCTCTCTCTCTCTCTATATATATATATATATATCTATAATTATAATTATACACATTGTTTGGTTGAAATGTATCTTTTTTTAAGAAAAGTCAAACAATAAAATTACAATAAAAAGAGAAAAAAATAAATATTTAACAATTACAGAAGTCATGGAAAAAGAGGAGCTAAATAAATTATCCATTGTTTTGAGGATCTGATGCGAACAACTGTCTTCTTACTGAAAGAGAGGAGTAAAGTTGCAATTTCACGGACCAATAAATATTCATAACAAAGATAATATCCGTTTTGTCTTTGATATGGGCAATAATTGTTGTAACCGTGCATAAATGGGCACCATTA